AGCACGAATTATCAATTCCGCCAGAGGGCTCGACTGATTGATATCGCAAGTAGATTCCTGGTGTGGATTCAATGGTATAGCAAATCGAGAATGCGCCGTTCGTCCACCTGGGAGCAAAAGAGAAGCTATTCCGCTAGATGCGACGCATAAGACTATGTTACCCTTGGATCTCAAACCAGCAGATAATGTCCTCCACAGATAAGTCTTACCAGTTCCACCATAACCGTATACAAAAAACACACCACCTTGGCCTGATTGAACAGTAGACATAATTCTGGCGTAGACACTTTTCTGTTCATCTGTCATGTTTTGAAGAAGCGTATCATGTTCAACGGCGAGGGCCTTTCGATCATAATTCAACTCATCTAATATCAGACGATTCGAAGTTGAATGCATGCTGTACCTATCCGGAAATGGCATAGGCTCATATTCTCGAAGACTTGTACCACGGCGTCTCAACACAGTCTCAATCTCAGCAAGAGCAAGATTTTGAATTTGTTCCTCAGTAAGGTGCAAATCTATAACAAAAAAATGAACTAAAATCAACATAATTTAAATCTTATTAAAAAATTGTATATAACCTTGAAAATCATTCATTAATAATATAGATATGGATATATGAAAAGTATGAGTACCTTGGTTATTAAACAATCGACGTTGTCTGTATAGTATGTCGTCAGACATACATTGCCAACACTTATTCCATACGTCATCTGGTCTGCCAAATGAACCGGACACCAACAATGATGCGAACATGCGTCTAAGGGCGTCTGCAGATGCCCACTGACTTGCCTCGGTTATGCCATCTACATACTCTCGGTCGTCTTCTAACAAACCCCGCGCGTAGCAAGCATCACGATACGTTAGATATTGGACGTCATCGACCTTCATATAGTCCTCATGACATGTTGCCCCACGCACAACAGTAAGCAACAATCGCAAGTAATAATTATTTCCAGACCCAGGAGGTACGTACCGCAAACGACCTACAGAGGGTTGATCCTCATTTGCTCGAGGAGTCCATTGCCTTATTGTTGTATTCCACACAAATTTGGACGGCGCCTCAGCATACGTTAGT